GAAGTCAACTGCCGATTAATATACTTTTTTGCCGTATGAGTATACGTTGCCCAGGGTGCACCACGTGGAGGTAAGTCTATCGCACACCCCGAATTCGCTAGATATTACGGTAGATTTCGATGAAACTCCCATTAATGTGTCAGTTCAAACGCCTTATTATAATTTTAGAGCCTGTTCCCTCTAATCGATCACGCGTTTCTTCAGCAATCGTTTACTATTTTTGACCTAATGGTTAACTTTAAGCTTATGGCCCAGACAATAATCGTCTGTTTATTGATTAAGCTGGTTCATGATGTGTAGCTTTCTAATAAGGTTGTAATGTCTCCCAGGTTTTCTATATTCTGTTATTTTAAGGTTTTTGTTAAAGTTATTCTTTAAAATTAATTGTGGTTTCAGTCTTTTCTTTGCGTCATTAGTTAGCTTGACACTTGTGCCAATTTTCATCATGAATGCCTAAATATTTCAGTGGCGAGTAATGAAAAAAATAGAGATTGATTTTGAGGACAGCATGTGGGTGGATCGACAATTTTGATCGACTGGATAATGGTAAGTTCTAGAATACCGAATCCATTTCTTAGGACTTTGGGGGAGGGGGTGGTGGTGGGAAGGAGGGTGGGGACAAGAATTATAACCTATTCTTTTTTTAATTTGTTGCCACCATTGATATATCTTGATAATCAACGTGGAATCAATATGTGGATCGTGGGCTCCATTGATATGTACTCGCTAATGCCCTTCATGGAAGAATGCAATTTAAGGCCTAAGTGTATAGTTAAACGGAATTGGAATATCCTCCAAGAATTCTTTTGACAGCCACCTCCCAGCTTAGTCTATGGATTTCGCGGAGTTAAAAGACACCACCGATTCTCCACTTCATCATCTGTAATCCCCGCCTTTATTATGAAATGGTTCGAGCGTAACCCGCTGTCTTGCAAACCTCTTTTTATTGTGGGTGTTTTTAGCAATCTAACTTTAGCTGATTTATGGATGCTGGCTTACATTAGTATGCGCATATATATATTTCAAATTTCATTTAGTTTTTTGGCAATCGAAGCATATTTACCTTTAAGCAGTAATCGGCATGCTTGCGTTGAGATATAGCTTGGGAGATAACTTCATCATCAAAAATAAATAGATTACCTTTTTATTTAAAGGGTGTGCGATGGACTTACCTCCACGTGGTGCACCCTGGGCAACGTATACTCACACCTTACCTCCACGTGGTGCACCCTGGGCAACGTATTCTCATTCGGCTACCTCCACGTGGTGCACCCTGGGCAATGTATACTCATACACCTCCACGTGGTGCACCCTGGGCAACGTATACTCACGATAGACTTACCTCCAGGTGGTGCACCCTGGACAACGTATACTCAAACGGCACCTCCACGTGGTGCACCCTGGGCAACGTATGCTCACTTCAAACTACTAAATCTATTAACTGGCAGTTGACTTCTGACTTCAAACTATGCAAAATTACATTTACCGACAGTTGACTTCTGACTTCAAACTGCCACTTTATTATTCGGCAGTTGACTTCTGACTTCAAACTACCAAAAGTCTATTAACTGGCAGTTGACTTCTCACTTCAAACTGCCATCACCCAACCGGCAGTTGACTTCTCACTTCAAACTGCCATGACCCCACTGTATGTCATATTCGACATCTTCTACAGCGCTCATCTCACCTTTTCTCTACCTTCGTCTTTGAAACACTCTTCTGTCCCCCCCCCTCCCCTCTCGACTTTCCTCCACTTTGATGTTCTTTCCCCTCTGTGAAGCCTGAAGTCAACTAAAGGGGTAATGATAACCGTCAAAACGCCTGCCATTTGATATAAATAAATAAACCTTTTTATTTAAAATAACCATGAGGTGGACACATTTAACTTGAAGTAACATTTGAAATCCAAATTCTCTGTTAGAATCTTGTTTCTAATCTTTTTGAATGACATTTTTTGATAGTCTACATTCATCTAATCGTGGACTTCTCTGTCGATTCATCATTAACTGCGCTTTCGATTAACCGATTTACGAAAATTGTATTTAGTCTGGTAACTTTGTTCTTTCTTGAGCATTCTTAAATGCGTAGAAACGTTTTTATACTGAGTCGCTCTCAACTATCGTATTTTTTTACTGCTGGCAAACAAACGAGGAGTCATTGATATATATATCCACCGATAAACAGCCAGGACGTTATCTTTTAATTTCAATCTTTCGGTGGGGTTGGGGGGGGGGGAGAAAAGATTTTCTGACGTCTTTGATCTAGCACACCCAATTAGAATGTCCTTATTAGAAAATTATGTTGGTGGTCGTCTTAAATATCTAAGGAGCGAGAGAGTTAGGTAGAGAAAAAAAAGTCTAAACAACTCCCGACTTATCAAAAGTAAAGTCAAAATTAATGTTAATATCCGCTTTAATTTTAACTGCATACGAAGTTAGAATTACGAGTCACTTTCATACTTATTCAATATTGGATCACCGATTACCGCTGTTAAGTACTTAAGTAGTACATTGCTAATGCCTCAATTTCCTACATTATTATTTCAGAACTGGTCTTTTCTTTGATCCCGCCATGTTGTCCCACATCTGCCTCTGCCACCATGGCAATAATCCGCAAGTTCATCCCGAGCATCCGTTGAGGATCGTTTCGATACTGGAGCGAATCGCTGGTATGCGTCTTCAAATTCCACCTGGCTTACTTTCTTCAGAAGAGCAGGACTCGAAAGTCTCTACTCCCGACGGCCTACCCCTGGCTTTCCTCTGCAAATGGATGCGAGCTCGTATGGCCACTAGAGTAAGCATTCTTTTTCCATTCTCTCAATCAAACCCAGCCGAGGGAGGGGGGGGGCGGATTTTGAATTCTACTGTGATTAGTGTACAAGTGTGAGGTCTTACCAGCGAGTCATTGTGTTGTGTCATTCCGCTTCTCAAAATGTGCTGGGAAACGCTTTTTAGCCGAGGGGGGGGGGGGGTGTGTGGACAGGAGACGGGGGTATGTACGTATATACTTAATTTTAATCTACCCAATATATATCTGTCATGTTTTTCTCTCTCTTGAAAAAGCAAATGAAATCGACTGTGCAGTTTTCTTTCTTCTTTCATTCTCAATTTTGCTGGTAATTGCCTTTTCTCCTCAAAATGATTTATTTCCAATGCTTTTCTAACTGCCATATTGAATGCCTTTAATAGAAATTAAAAAATCCACATTTTTTAATATGTGTTATTGGTGCAAATCTTTTACTTCGTCGTACGCTTCGATCCACTTAACTTCTCTTAATGGAGCTAGGGAAATTCTTACCTCCTAGTTTTAAGTGCCTATTTTTCAAATGGGAAAAAATTGAATTAGCTGAGCGTTAACGGGGGACGCTATTGTTGGCGGTTGATTTTGTACCTACTAATTGGCCCGTTTTTTGTCTTACCTTACAAGATACATGTAATTTTCCAATTCAAGATAGTGTGTTGCAGAGGGCCAAAAACTCCACACTCAACCCAGTAAAACAACCCAAGCAAGGGTTTAGTCTAATGGAGTAGTCAAATAAGATTTCATTATACGATATGAGTGTGCTTGTGTGTGTGTGTGTGTGTGTGTGTTTGTGTGCCTACACACATTGCGTATTCGGTTAGAATCATCAACGAAGTGTTGGATTCGTTGACACTACTTCTCTCCATTAAAATTGTTTATGGAGAGGGGCAATAAAGCAAATTGGCTTTGCGTCACACACAAATAGGTGGTAGTGGCAAGGAGCATTTTTTATATTTGTTTTCAGACTAAAAACACACACTCTCTCTCTACTTATTTAGCTTTGAGACCTAGTGTTATGCTTAGTATGTCACAGTGAGCTGGTTGGTATACTGTGGCGTTCAATGCTCAACAGCTTTTTTTTTGTTCTCTAGAACTGTGAAAAGTATTATGCCATCATTTCAATGTTATTTTGAAACCACGCACCAAGCTTTCAAAGAGAACGCTTTAGTTTGCTGTGCCAGTTGCAGCTGTTGGGGGGGGGGGGGAGAGACAATGCATGTCTTGTAGAAAGTTCATACGCTCGGACATAGGGAGTCGGAGTATCACAGTCACCAATCTGAATACAAAACAACTATTTTATGCCCACAATAAAGCCTTTATTTTTGTTTTTACCTATGTCACACTGCCTTTTCCGACGGATATTTTGGTGCCATTCGGTTCAGACAGTTTTTTTCCAGACTCTCAACCGTTACTCGTTACTGGTTTTTTTTTGACTCAGACATCATAAAAACTCAGTTTAAAACCGATTTGTTTTTTTCCTTAACCCCTCCCCTCCCCCCCCCTCAACCGCTATTGTAGTTCGAATTCGAATGATGTTAATTATCAATTCACCTATCCACCTTTCCTTAAGCAATCGAATAGTATCTTATCCTGCAAGAGGAAACTACCCCCACTTTGAACTCAATCCAATCCCTATAAATTCTACTTTCCGTATGGAAGGGAAGAGTGTGACTGGTTCATCAGATGATAGTGTCCTTGTTGGCATTTTAATTAACAGCATTTATGCGCATTCATATCAAATGGCAGGCTATATGCTAGTTATCATCTGCCCTTTAGTTAATTTCGGGTCTTCACAGAGGGGAGAAGAACATCAAAGTCACAAAAAGTCGAACGGGAGGGGGGTACAGAAGAGTGATTCACAGATGTTGGGGAGACAGACACAAAGGTAGAGTTAAAAGTAGGGTAAGGTGAGTACTATGGAAGTGGTCGAATATACCCGAGTAGGGTCATGGTAATTTGAAGCCAACTGCCGGTTAACAGACTTTTTCGCCGTATGAGTATACGTTGTTCAGGAAGCACCACATGAAGGTAAGTCATCCCTAATTAGTAAAATCTGTCTATGAAACTAATGACATAATGTTTTTGATTCCAGAGAATGCATTTTAGAAATTTCCATTTGTCATTTAATACGCAGATCTAATATTAGTCAATGTAAACAGTCGTTTTTCTCTAGTGGTCTATTCTGTTAGTAAATATAGCTGCCTAATGATGCCTACTTGTGAGCCAATTGAACAAACAGGTTTAGGTAGTCATATTTTGTTGTTGTCTTTAAATTCACCCTTTTGTTCAAGCAGGCTGAGGTGATTCCCCACTTGATCATAAATCATGCCCAAATAAACGGCACTGAATGTGAGCCATTTGTGCAGAACACAGAGCTCAGCTCGCAGTAGAGTATAGTCACTTCCGACAAGTCTAAATTTTGTCAATTCAATTTCGTGTTCCATTTTCGTCATCATTTCTTGTCATTGTTAGGACATACCTTTGCTGATCATTTTTCACCTTATGCCCACACATGTTGTACTGATATTGTGGGATTGAATGTACTTTCTTGACTAATTATTTGCGTATAAATTTTTGCCAATGTTTATATCGGCATCCTATGGAGTTTTCAAGCTCTTTGAGTGTATGCCAACAAGTTCTAATCTTTCGGCCAGTTTTCAAGAAATTCACCTACTAGGTCTTTGAACCGATAGCCAAGTAAAAACAGGGCAAGTGATTAGCACTTTAAATTAAAAAATTGTGATAGTAAATCTCTGTCTTATTCACGCCCACGTTGACTCCACTATGGATAATAAATTCCCAGACAATATCTTAGTATTTGGCTAATAAGTGAGGGCCATTTTTTATCTTTCACGCTGATCTGCCTTTCTATTCCTCCACCCACTGCTTTAACTGTGGTATTCCGCGAAAGGTATGGTACTTTGATTTCGTCTTTGCTTCCGCGTGGGCGTAACTTGCCTGAAAGGAGTTAAGGCGCTTTCACTCACGTTTTGTGCCCCCCCCCCTCCCCTCTGATTTCTCCTTCCCTCTTACTAATTATCTCGTCATGTCTCACCCACGCATTTGTGTTAATGAACGTCTTGTGCTTGTGCTATGTCGTAAGGAATGTGTTTCTACTTCCCACTATGCCCAAATCAGAGAAATGTCACCTGTATGAGTCACCCCAGTTGTCTTTATTCCTCCGGTCAAAATGGCTGGAACTGTGCATCTTTCTGTGAATAATTCACTACCCTCATTGCGTTGTTGTTGTTGTTGTTGTAACCAATTTTAGTCTCCTTACTCGGATCTATCAAAAACGTCTATCCAGTTACTGGGGGGTTTTCGTTTAGAAATTGATTTTCTCTCGTTTATTCACAATGAATGGAATTTATTTCTATCATGGTTTCTTGTTAAATCGCGACAGAGTTTCAGTTTCGTTGTAGACGCAATTAGATGGAGCGTTTGTGATAGGAGACCGAAAAAACAGCTCATAGCTTAAGTCCATCATGATCCGTGCCAAGACACAGGCGTATATCGATCCTGGCAACTTCTCACAGCAACTTGGCGATTCTTTTATATTTAATTACTTTGGCAGCATGAAGACAACCTGTGAAACCCTGCAATGCAGTGCTTTTATGATTAGTAAATGATCCTAGATTGGCTGTCAAGTGACTTAGTAAAATCAAGCAGGTAGATCCAGCGTTAGTTGGGACAGAAACTGGACTTTTTCTAACATCGTGCCGTAGAATATAGGCGTATTTTACGAAATTGGAGTGATTAGAGTGAGAAGCAGATAAAATTTAACTTTAAGTAGTTCACTTACCGCCTTCGTGATACTGAAGAGGTTAACACACGTTTTATTGTGGATTCGATAAATAAGACATTGTTTTATTGGTCAATTTCAAGGTAGAGGTAATATCAAAATTATTAATACTGCCAAAGTATGACTGTTTGTCGGTCCTCCCATTTAAAGCATAGCTTCTCTGGAGAAATCTCAACTCCGAAGACAAGGGGAAGGAGGGTTTTAGAGTAGATCAGAAGACTTCATAATGCTTTTCTTAGAGTAGAAAATAGCCCCTGTTCTTTATGTCGTCTTCAATGGTAGCCGATCTTCAAGAGCACTCACCCTTAACACCTCCTCCCATATCTCTTCTAAGAGGCCATTCTCGTAAGCATGTGTGTGTGTGTGTGTGTGTGTGCTTGAGCTAAATTCTTAATACAACACTCAAGTCCTGTCATCATTCCTTGAAGTACCTTTTAATTAGGTAATTTATTGACGCACATCTCTTCATGTGGAAATGTTTTAAACGCATTTTGCTAACATTAACAGGGTTCGGTCTCTTTTTCACTCTCCAATCTGCTTTTCTATTATCATTCGTGAATATTAAATTACAATTGGGGTTCAGAGGTCAGTGCAGATTGTCGATGTCTCAACTCAGAGGTGCATGCTCAGGCCGGTGTCGCCTGTCATAAACTGTCACATAGACCTCAAGGACACCGGTTTAATAGGTGAGTTGCAGGGGCTTTTTTAGAATTCGGAGACGAACGCTCGAATTTAATTTGCATTGCAAATTCTACCTCTTCTCAGGCTCCTTGTGTATGCAGCTGGAGTTATTATTCAATTACGTTGCTTTGACGGGGGCTTTATTATTTTTCGTTGGTTGTTTACTCACTTCAACTAGCTGTGATCGTTCTAATTATATATCCCTTAACTTGAATGTGTGAATAAATTAAACTGTCTACAATCAGGTTATTTATACGACTGCGTTTATCTTAACTATTTTTAACTGAGTGCAACGTTTCACACCCTTCATCTTGTTTCTTTACCGAATTGAGGGCAGTTTAATTTGGCTAACTAGCTACATTTATCCAACACCTAAAGCGGGTGTCGGGATATTCTTGAACCGATTAGCTTCTCGTCTTCCTCATAATCATGCTATTTGTGTGTGTTTTGTTTGTGTGTGTGTGTGTTTGTGTTGGAATGCAGCATATATTCACGAGACCCGTGTTATTTTTTGGGATCTTCGCACACGGTCGAACACATTAATTCCCTGATGCAAAAAATTCGGCCCCTTTGCCCAAGTCCTTAAATAAAGAACACATACGCACAAGCACACACACACACACACGCACCCACACATGCGCGCACACAGCATCCATTTGGCTGGCGAATGACTCATCATGGGGGTGCTTGTCCTCTTTTCCGTATTTACGATGCCTATTTTTAGACGCGAGCTTACTTCAATTGTACCTATTATGTGCACTATCGTATGATTGCAATTGTGAGGGCTCTGTACTGCCTCTGCGTAAGAAGTCAACAACGTTTTATATTTATCATCTGAGTTCACCAACTTCTTTAAAAATGCACCCAACCACGCTCACGCATGTCTCAAAGCAGACTGATAACGGTGACGTGATGAGTTTGGTGACATCAGGCGAAGGCTACACAGATGTATTGAACATCCTTCAAACGGCAATAGCACCGCTTCTGTTACGAGTCTAGTACCAATGGAGCTTATTTTGAAAGAGGACCGTACTGTCCTTCAAGGTGTTAAAGGATTGACAAACCAAGCGGGAGTGTTCAAAATATTGTAGAATTAGGCGAAATATAAGCTACAAGTTTGATGTCTGACGGAGATTTTCAACTGAAAACTTTGGTCAAAGTTGGAAACAAGTAGCATGATTTTCTTACCAATGTTATTCTTATCTATTTAAGGAGGAATTAGCCATTTTCCACACCGAGGAGCACATTTCTCGCTACTGTTCTGAAGAATCGTCGGCCACTTCCTCAGAGGACGAAGGTGTTCATGATAGACCCATGGGAGATGACGATGAAGTCGATCAGAAGCCCTGCATCGCAAAAGATATCCCCATGGAAGTGGATATTCCCCCGAAGAAGCCAGCTGTTAAAAAAACTTTTAATAAATCATCCTTTCCCCTGGTTACTCTCCGATGTGGTGGAGTTGGTGTAGACTCCGACACCGTCTGGAACCCCGAAACTACGTCGAAGTCTGCTCGATTGGCTGTTGGACAGGTTATCTGCTTAGCGCACAAGTGAGAATAATTTCTTATCCATACCATTTGCCTTTGCAATTCTGCAAGCAGTGATCTACTAATAGCTATATTGCATTATCCTTGTGATCAAGAATAAGCGAAACGAATCTATATTGGATTTGTGGTGTTTTTGTAAAGTAGGTCCATTCAACCTTCTGCTATTGAGATCTTAGTGCTTATCAGATAGCGCATGTCTCTCAGAGGGCGAACAAAGGACTACGTTTACTCTAGTTGAATGCTAATTCAACTGCAGCAAATCTTCATACTCTTTACGTTGAATATCAAAACACCGCCGTAATAAAATGTTATTGCCTCGAATAACTGCCATCGGGGGGGGGGGGGGGGGGGGAGAGCTTTCTACTTAGTGAGATAAGGTCAATGGCTGACCTAGATAGCAACTGTAGCAATTCCTAATTCCGAAATAACACACAAACTCTGCATTCTTGAGTGGTGGAATAAACATTCCTCTCTCTCTCTCATCGTTTCTTGAGTGCCCCTATTTGTTCATTTTTTAATGGTTTGTTAATCAAAATTAGGATATGAATAATTGTCCAGGGGTGTAACCGGATTTTTTATGTTGATGTCCTATATTCCATGTGGAAGGAAAAGGTGATTAAGTAAAATCTCTGCGCCCGTGAAGATGGAAGTTCTTAGTGCAGATTTTCTGTTACTATCGTGAGAATTGGAGCTGGCTTGTAGAACGAGTTGGAGTACCATTTTCATCAGAACTTCTATTCTTATACATTTTCTTGGCTAGCCCTTATCCTTACTACTAATTTCGACGTTTAATCATCTGGTGCACGAAATAGTGATTGTGTTATTTTCGTTTCACTATGCCTAAAATTCGAAAATATCTCTAATCGACAATATGAATTGACTGTTTCTTGAGCTCTAAAGCGGTTTTTTTGTAATTCGCTTTTAGTTTTTTTTTGATAAGTAGAATAGGCTATAATTGCTTTCAAGACTATTCAAATCATTCCATGTGATCTCTTTATTTGCCAAGTGGGTAGCTATGACTCTTTTATTTCACTCAAATCAATGCTCCTTTTGTTTCAGCAGGTAGCGTAAAACTAATTATATTTCTCCATTTCTACTTGATGACTTTTTTCATTTTGTTTTTTTTTCTAGTGCAGAGTTTATGATCGAATGTCTAAAAATAGGCTTTTCTAGGCCATGTAGGAATTTGGATGGCTTTAGACCAACAATAACAATAACAAAGTTGTGGTGTAAATCAGAAAACAGCACTTTCAAACGCATTAGTTAACATTTGGCTCGTATCTCTGTTTTGTTATGGCCTTTTCAAGTTGCCGCGAACTAGTGTTCAAACCCTCCACCCGTTCCTTCTGCAGATTCCAAAATAGTATTTCCTTCGATTGCTCCTGATCGGCGTTCCTACAGCTTTCCGTACTTAGTTATTGTCTTTGTAAAGTTAGAATTGTCTGTACTTTTTCTAAAACTAGGATGCCTATAGCTTCTGCCGCTTTGATATATCTACTCACTTGGCTACTGTTTGGCTTGGATCAGACTTGTTTGCTCCAAATAGACGTCCAATTAGTGGAACAAAGATAGTATGTAAGTGAAATCCAATCGTCTTCGTGCTATTGAAGGAGGTTGAAACAGCATTGAGGGAATTTTTGTTCTTTTTTTGTATTCCGAATTACTGCTACGTTAAAAGGAGCGGCATGCGTCCAGCATATCGATAAAGATGATGGGTGACTTATAGTCACTCAGTGGAAATCATGCATTCCGATGCGAAAGGGGCAGATGTTATTGAAATCGCACCAAGACATCATTAATTAAACAAATCTATTTTGGGGGAGGGGGGGGATAAAAGTACTCGCTTCATGATTAACGGTTGATGTGAGTTTTGTCAAGATTTGTTTTCAAGATATCCCGTGCAAAGTGTGTCCTCGTATTTTTGATAGACGCCCTGGGGACTGTTAAGGCCTATTCTACGCGTTCTTGAGCCATGTTTAATGACTTTATTTGGCCATCTTTTACTGTTATTGCCTTTTTTGCATTTGTGTCTCTAATGCTGACCGATCAGGCGTCATGATGTTTGCTATTTCTTCCTCGTCATGTCACTTTAGTACCACACTCCTCCCCTGAATTGGTCAATGCAATTGGGGTTGCCTTATGATCGTTATCTTCGATTATGTACTGCTATTCACCCCCACGAACATTTACTTGCTATAACCACATGTTTGATGACGATGATGATGATGGGGTCATATCATTATTTTTATTTACCTAGCCTTGCCTGTGGAAGTTTGCGCAACGGGTTTGCCCTAGTTCATCCGCCAGGCCATCACGCCGAGCCAGATCAGGCCACTGGTTTCTGTTACTTCAATTCCGTTGCCATAGCAGCTCTCTCCATTCTCCAGAGTGGACTCGCTTCTCGTGTACTTATCCTCGACTGGGACATCCATCATGGCAACGGTACCCAATTCGCTGCTACCCAACACCCCGGCCTACTCTACATCTCACTCCACCGTTACGATCAGGGTACCTTCTTCCCAGGCACAGGCTCCTTCCATCGCCAAGACAGTCAAGCCAACGGTGGGTATATCATTAACATTCCTTGGGGATGTACGGATGCAGCAACAACTTCCATTACCGTGCCGGCGACCACAGCTGCGCGTAGAGAATCGTGGAGGTCGATTACACCCCACACCAAAACGGTTTCCTCGTCAAGTGACAGCGGAGTTCCCGAGGATGTCTCCGCTGCACTGCCTTTACCCATGATGCTTGGACAGAGTTGGAGAGACTCTTCACCAACTAGCTCCTCAGCTGGATCAATCGATAACTCTACCATATTGAAAGGTTTCCCTGGAGATTCAGCCACAGGTAATGGAACTATAGGACTCTCAGATGCGGAGTACCTGGCGGCGTTTAGGACCCTGGTGATCCCTATGGCGGCAGAATTTGCACCCGATGTGGTTCTGGTATCGGCTGGGTTCGATGCAGCGACTGGGCATGGTAGTGCCCTAGGTGGCTACGAAATTTCACCGGGGGCCTTTGCATGGATGACACGCCAGGTGAGAAACCAAGTTCACAATTATTGGCATAAAGTATTCGCATTCTTATGAGTGCAATAGGTAATAAGTACTTCGGATTTCTTGTCGCATAAATGTGCATCCAAAAGAATTTGGCCTTTGCGAGCACTGCCAAGTAGTGTACTTTTAGACAATTATTTTCAAATTCAGGACAGTTCAGCAAGCTGAGGGATTTTTCTCCTTGTATGTGAATCTCCAGGCTAATTGTTAAAAGCAGAATTTAACTAACTTTGTGTTGATCATTGCAGTGCCCTGTTTTTCTTCTATTCAGTACATGTCATCTTAGTAAAATTACTTAGTATTATTTCGAAGGAGTTCGACTGAATTTAACTTGGAACTGTTCTTCCTTAAGGAATGATCCTCCCCCCTCCCATCCTCATTCTCTCAAGTGAAAATATCAAGAATTAGGGAAACAAATGCGAAGGGGTAGAAATGGTATTAGAAGGAAAAGAAGGAGACGTCTAAACTGAGGGAGTCAAATTCGAGGTCTGATAAAGATGACTTGTTGAGGCACGCTGTGGAGGGGGGGTTGTTTGGTCTTACTTTCTTTGTGAGTCACTCTGTGGTAAATTCGGTCATGCAAATAGACCATAATGTCAAGATAAAAGCCGGTGCTAGCACACTGACTCACACCCAATGTTATTAATTACACCCGAAACGGAGGTCTAATATATACATATATTGTTTCTTACTCAAGTGTATGTCCTTGGCCAATGGGAAAGTTGGTTTGGTCTTGGAAGGTGGCTATGTCGCTTCCGTAACAGCAGAATGTGTTTCCAACTGCATCAACGCTCTCGTCCTCCCAAACCCTCCACCGGCCGTACCATCAACTGCTTTTTGCTCCTCAACCAATAACCGTCAGTGTCTCGCTCATTTGGAAGATAGCCTGACCACCGCGAAAGCATGGGTCCCGCCTTCTGAATTCTCCAGAGCTCCAAGGCCTGAGGCAGTGAAAACACTGCTCGAGGTTGCTGCTGTGAATGCCTCGAGAGGAAAGTGGAAATGTCTGTCCAACATGGATGCTGCTTCTGTTGCGGCAGATTTTGCTCTGTAAGCATTGACCAATAGAAATAACTATATCTCCTGGAGCAATTGATTTTCTACAATCAATTGTGCTTTTAATAACATAGTAATCATCTGAGTTAATACCATGGCTATGCTTCTCCATACCCAGAGGGGAAATGTGGAAAACCTCTGACTCAAACGACTGTTCGATTATGGGAAATATTTAACTATCTCTACCTAGCGTCCTAAACTCGGGACTAATTGTCTACCCGATTAGCTAGCCAAGTGACATTGACTGGACTTCATTCCAGGGCAAGACCAGGCAAAACCAGAGTTACCATTTTTAATAGGAAGGGTGTCAGAATCTGAAAAGCTTAACTTCATTTAGGAGCACTTGGGTCGCTTAGCTGGTCCAGTGGCCTTGTATGACTTGTTCTCAAGTTTTTCTTCTTATGTTTTTTTGGTAAAATCCATTTTACATGATCGTTTGTCGTCTTTTGTCATGTTAAGTTTACTTATTTTAGACCTTTCAATCGAGCTTTGGAACAGGAGCGTTCAAGACTGCTGTCTTCGTAAGCAATCGCAACCCACCTCCCTCCAATTTCTGTGATGTCGCTATCCTTACTACTGACATATTGCTAGTAGCAGCGCGAGGATATGGCTGTCTTGTGTACATTATTGTGTTTGTCTATGCTCGCTCTACCACCCCCTCCCCCTCCAACCTCTCTCTCTCTCCACACTACACGCTTTAATACTGTGCCTTTTGTTACTTCAACAATAATGAGCCTTGTTTTTCCTCATTGTTTTGCTTTTAAATGACCCCGGGCTACGTCGGTCTCGATGAAGATATTCGACTCTCGCACTGGCTTTCTTTGTCTCTCTCTCTTTTTTTTATTTCTTAATAATAATAATATTACTATTACTACTGTTACTTCTGGTAAATGTAACTTCTCTAATGACTGTCTACTGAATGAATGATGCAGTGATATATCTGCCTTTTTCTTTTTGCTTAATTTGATAAAGGTATCGCGCGTTCTCCCTCTTTTTGCAATAAAATATCTATGAATTATTACTTCTGCTCCTTGACATGCATAATTTGCATATTAAAGCCTGGGCGAGGGGATTTCAATCAAGTAGCCACTCTTTTAAATCAATGTGATCATTATTACGCAACAAATTGGTTTGCTTCATGTTTGAGGAAGGTGGTAGCCTGTAGATGGAAAGTGGATATTGGAAGTTGCGTTATTATAAAAGTTGGGGTTGCGTAGTTCTTGAGAGCAGTCACTGAGTTGTAAGAAAGTATGCAGTTTATGAGTATTGATCCTGTCATTTTGGGATAGTCTTTAATTACTATGTGGTGGGGGAAAAAGAAGATTTGATTGGTCAAGCAAACGAAGAAACGGATTTCGATGTCAACCTGTGACTATAAGTCTCTTCTAACATAGTGAAAAGCATTGGGATATGAAACCTAGTTAAAGGCGCGCGTTGACCTGGCTTCTGGTTGGTTAAATTCGGCTTCGAAGTTGATTTCTTTTACGTGGCGACCCGAGATTTCGATGCCAGCTTGTGGGCTATTCGCTAGGAGAGATTCGAGATTTGTTCAGTCAGATTATCAGATATATTAGGTGTGGTTAGCATTTTTGAAAAAAAGTTTCATTTTTCAATAAGTATCGCCAAAATTTTCTTTGAACTTGCAGCGATATGGCACTGCCAACTAAGGCTTGGATGATGATGATAATAAGGTCATCCAACTCTCTCTCTCTCTCTCTATGCAGAAGTCTGAAGGATGGGACAAGCAGAATTAAATTAGTCATATGAAGTAGAAACATTTTATCAGCAAGTCCAAAGTGGATAGAAAGATTTGAAAATATGCAAGAATAAAGTGATCAATGAGGGGTTTCAGATAGACTCATCTCCACGTGGTGCACCCTGGGCAACATAAACTCATACGGTAAAAAAGTCTTTTAACTGGCAATTGACTTCTGACTTCAAACTATCATGACCCCACTGTATGGCATTCCACTACTTTTACAGTACTCACCTTACCCATTTCTCTACCTTTATGTCTATCTCATTTAGATTTACGAATCACTCATCTCTTCCCACTCTCGACTATTTGTGACCTAGATGGTCCTCCTCTCTGTGAAGCCCGAAGTCAACTACAAAGCTAATGATAACTATCATAAAGCCTGCCATTTGATGTAAATGGATAAATACGAGCAATGAAAGGTGAACAATTTATTTAAAGCAAGTGATTTCCCTCAAAATTTGATTCATTTTATATTGGTAGCAGGAGATGAAAGTTATGTTCGCTTTTGGGGTGAAGGGTTATATTAAAGGTAGCTTATGAAATTTGGAGTTCACATTAGTCACTTATTTCGAACTTTCAATTCTCCATGCTGCTAGCGTTTTATTCTTTGTTACCATATGATACCCTTCAATTGTATTAACTTAAAGTACAATTATTGTAAAATTAGATAGAAATAACTAAACCCATCAGTTATCTCCTTTACTGTTAATAAAATCTTTATTATCGATTTCCGATTTGAGTGTAAACTATGCAGAGACGATCAACGCCTCCAATTTCAAAAATTTGTCTTTTATCTAAGATAGGAAAAGAGGATGTGAAGACAGAAACAAATTATCACTGCTTTTTCCATCCTGAACTTCCTTAAACCAATTAATGACTCAGTATTGCGTATAATCGACTGCATCGAGCAACAAAGACTATAAAGATCTTGAATGATAAATTATTACGGTGCATCGACTTAAGACTGTAGTCTGCCGTATCATTAGTCCTTTAGTTGACTTTGGGCTTCATAGAGGGGAGGAATATCAGTCGCAAAATGTCGAAAGGGAGGGGGTACAGAAAAGTGACTCACAGATAAAGGAGAGACAGACATAAAGGTAGAGAAAAAGGTAAGGTGAGGTGAGTACTGTGGAAGTGGTCCAATAGGACATACAGTTTGCTCGTGGTGGTTTGAAGCCAACTAGCAGATTATGGATATTTTTACCATATGTGTACGAACCCGTGCAGTTTGAATTTGAGAACAAGATATGAACATTTAGAAGAAATACTTTAGTGCTGCTAACTGCTTCGCTTCGGGTTCATCCTCATTATTCTTCATTGGCTTTAACATTATTCACTGCCAGCACACTCCTTATAAATAGAAATACCACTTTTTTGTTTTAATGCAAATATAATTGGTAAAACAACAATAATGCTCTCTAACTTTCAAAATATCTTACACTATATATGTTCCACTAGATACATAGGCATATTTGCTAAACTGATTACAACCCACCTGGTACGAAAGTATGCTTCCAGGATAGATTGTGGTCTTATCAGCACTAAGGAAAGTATATTTATTCATTTATTTATTTCAAATGGCAGGCGTTTTAATAGTTATAATTGGCCCTTTAGTTGACTCCGGCTTCACAGAGGGGAAGGAACATCAAAGTGAAAAAAATCGAGAGGAGGGGGGGGGGATGTGGAACAGAAGAGTGTTTCAAAGATGTAAATGAGGCAGACACAAAGGTAGAAAAATACAGTGGGGTGATGGTTGTTTGAAGTGAGAAGTCAACTGCCGGTTAATAGACTTTTTGCCGTATGAGTATACTTTGCCCAGGGTGAACCACGTGGAGGCAAGTCTATCGCACACCTCAACTATCATATATAAAATTAAATTATTATGTGCTCCCAATCATTGCACCATAACAAATTGAATAAAAGAAGGAAAATAAACTAGTCGATAATCCATGAACACCATAATCAAGCACTGGCTGGAATCCAGGAAGACGACTTTAGAATTTTCTTTGTTTCTTCTTGGGGGGGAGGAGAGGTGGATGAAGGGGAGCTAATTATTGAATAGATATTATCCAACCCGAATCCAAAGTTCTAACGAAGTTGCACTCTTTGATACCATCTCATTGTTCTCAGCTTCTTTATGATCTCCTCCCTTTTATCATTGAGGGAACGTTCTGTTCACAGTTTTCAAATGCCTGTTACCATTAAGAATATCGTTTTGTTTGGCTGTAGTAATGATGATAATGAGCACAATGATGGAGACCGAGAATGTGGTTAGTAAAAGTTTACGATTCAATGGCTTGAAAGGCGAAATCACCTTTTGCCTAGTGACAACAGGCCACTAAAATTCCGTTTCATTGGTGCGTGATAGTTATTTCTACTTTCAATTACGCACGAAGGCATAGACAAATAAACAAAATACCAAGTTTAAGATATAATTAGCAAGCACGCGTGCCCAGGGTGCTTTACTGCAGTGATAAATTATTTGAGTCACACAAATTGATAAATGAGATTAGCTATATGTTCCCTCAAAATAAAATCTCACAACTTAGTGCCTTTTTTGTGCGATCACGAAGTGCAAGTTTTGATTATTGTAAGGTGTTTTACCACAGGAACTACGGAGTAGCAACGATTGAAATGTGAGTCGATTAGAGCGCCTTGAAAAAATCAGGGTATTAGTAGAATCACAAGTGGTCTGAAATGAAGATATACGTCATTTCCTTATCTGCGTCTAAATTCCGAAAGTGTGAAATTTAGGATCTGAGCACTGGATTCATTATTACCTGCAAATTCACCATCCATCGAGCCTACTGGTAAGGTGATTGAGTTACAGTGGTTGGGCATACCATTTTGATGGACAACTTTCACTGTTAAGGGGTGTGTGATAGACTTACCTCCACGTGGTGCACCCTGGGCAACGCAAACTCATGCGCAAAAAAAATTCTATAAACCGGCAGCTGACTTCTGAGTTAAAGCTATCATGACCCCACTGTATGTCATATTCGACCACTTTCACAGTACTCACCTCACCTTTCATCTGCCTTTGTGTCTGTCTCTTTTACATCTTTGAAACACTCTTCTGTTCACCCCCTCCCCTCTCAATTTTTTCGATTTGATGTTCCTCTCCCTCTGTGAAGCTCGAAGTCAACTAAAGGGCTATTGATAACTATCTTAAAGCCTGCCATTTGATATAAATATACTTTCACTGTTAATAGATAGGAGCCGCCAGTTGATACTGTCAAATATGATATTACAGACAAAATGTAACTGGAAATGAACTGTAGTACTAGTATTTGTAATATATCAGCCACCCTCCGTCTCGGTGTTATAACTTATATATAAACAAGATAGAGTGTGCGATAGACTCAACGCTACGCGGTGCACCCTGGGCAACGTACGCCCATAAGCAAAAAGTCTATTGACCGGCAGTTGAACTCTGTCTTCAAACTACCATTACCCGACTGTATGTCATTTTCGACTCCATTCACAGTACCCATCTTACCTTTTCTCTGCCTTTGTGTCTGTCTGTCTCCACTACGTCTGTGAATTATTATTTTGTCCCCCCCCCATCTCAACTTCTTGTCACTTTGATGTTCATCCTCCTCTATGTGAATCCCGAAGTCAGCTAAGGGGCTAATGATAAGTATTGAAACACCTGCCATTTGAAATAACTATATAAACAAGATTGATCGCAGTTCCAACTCCCCACTCCCCAGATAAAAGAGATCCCTCTGAATAATTGGAATTTAGCATTGCTAGCCCTCCCTCAAAAAAAACAACTTAAGAATGAATCCCAGTATCCGTAGGGAATAGACTTCGTTTAAAACGAAAGAGACCAGCAATGTTACAACACATAAACATTCAAATTCAGTAATATGAAAACGATCAGTTATAAATGATATATTAATTTTTTTAACAAAACGTTACACTGATGATTTATTGGTTAATCTAGCTCATGATATGCAACCACTTGAAGTATGTAAGTTCATTACGCGGTGGGTGTATTATTTGGCGATTCGGTCCTTTGAACCTTTCCGTCAAAAGAGTGCGTTCGTCCAATCTCCTGATGTTGGATTAAATTCAGCACTCCAGAAGCAGGTCGCTTCCTTCCAAGAGCATCTCCATTATGAGCATAATTGTTCGAACCGCGTAGAATAACAGCAATTTCAGATTCTACAAAACTCCAGGGTATTCCAGGATTTTCGGACAGTGCGCACCTTTCTCCACTTGGACAATGAAATCGTCTCCGTTCTTCAATCGGTTTCTTATCCTCCTCTTCCAAATTATTGGCTTTTTCCTCTCGCACTAGGATAGATCTAACACAAGCAAAGCAGAATCTATGCTTCGAACGAACAGGACATTGAACAAAGTGGCTCCCTTCTAAAGCGGCTCCACACAATAAACATTGGGCTTGCAATCTTTCATCCTGAAATAATAGCAGGGCTTCTTCGAAGATGCACCAATATCCTCGTCGAATTTCCACCTCCAAATCACTCTCTAAGATATCCATCTGTTCTAGAAGTTTGTTCAGACCCCTTATGAGTTTGCCGGTGCCAGTGGGATATTCGAAAAATAGGCGATCACGAATAGAGCAGTTTGAATCACGTGAAAGGCCCACACAGAGAGCAAATTTTGGTGTTGAGTGACAAATTGAGCGAATAGGGGCTGGAAATCTGATTTCTCGATGGTGGTTTTGTTGTGAAAGTTGTCGACGCTGAATGTTGTTATTTTGATATTGAAGCAGCCTTAATGCTGCCACATAGAGGGTCATAAGTGTTGGATGATTCTGAGAATAGAGAGAATGAGTCTTGAGAGACTTGGGTTTCTCTACATTTTGAAGAAGGGCTCTTTTCTGTGCTCCAACCCACTGAATGATTTGCTCTATCTTATCCGCTCCCTCATAATTCACACAACCACGACACACTGGGACAGAGAAATCAAAGACAAGCGCCCAAGGACTGCGGGGTAATTCACAGAGAAAACAATGAATGCGTATGGAATTTTCTGACTTTGGGAGGTTGTTAGAAATGGGCTGCCGAGCAGATGTCATGCTGAGGGATAATGATTTCAGACACTGGCTGTTGGAGCTCCTCACGTGTTTCCCGTATCGTGATTGGCTACTCAAAGCGCTTCTGTTGATTGGTCGTCCATCTAGGCTCAAGCATCCATTTCTCCTTTCCGCTATTGCTAATAATTACAACGCGCATATTTGTTTATTTTGTTTCTAAATTTGGCATTTATATCAATTTGTCGTCTAATTTACTTTGATAAATTATATTTGGTCTTATTCAGTCATTATTATGTGGCACAAAAGTGTGTAAAGGATAGATTTAAGCTGATAATAAACGTTAAGGAGAATGCTTACGTAATAATATTTTACGATAGAAAAGAATTTATTGAAAGTATAAACCGCACAAAACCTAGATCTAACAGATACGCGGTTTTTAAATTTCATTATTATTGATGCTATTTTCGATATATTAAGTCATTATTCCTAAATGTAGCACAAATTCCTCCTATTGAATTTGATGTCAAGGTGTACGCATTCCCCATTTTCAAGTTTAGACAAATTAACCGATAAATGCCCCAACATGGAAGATAAATAGTTCAGTTAGACTAAAGCATCGTCTCACTTTTTACCAGTGTTCAAATTTTGAGCTCTCTCCCAATAAATTTTTGGCATTTATTTCCTACAATGCTTACTTAATGCAATTTTTCATTTTTAAAAGTCAAGGCAACAGCTTTAACCAAAACTTTTTTTCAATGAATTGCAGATAGAAGTCCATTTAGCCTCTCTACTTTTAGGTCATCTTGTTCGAGCACACTTGATGAAAAGGCTTAGCAGATTTCTACACTGGTTAGCCCTGACTTATGCCTAGTAATCTTCTAATTGGGAAAGGCTCCCTTAGATAGCTAAGCTACCCAAACAATATAGGGGCAATAGACGTATGGCGTAGAGCACATTTGTGGGGACTGTGTGACAGACAAGAAGATTAAACATTAAGTGCAATTTCGGCTACGTTGACCACGCCGTGACTATTGATTGGCCGTGAAGTCTCTGCACTCGTGACCTTATTGGCTCCCTATTCCGATCAGACTTAACTCCGCACATTCCAAAATGCTTGAGCGCTCAAGGCGTCCTTTGTTTTTGTAATGTAAGCGCACAAGCGCCAACAAAATGGGCTCTCCACTTTCCATACCACTATGCTTTCCTTAGTGGGGCGTGCAATAGACTTACCTCCGCGTGGTGCATCCTGGGCAACGTATATCCATAAAGCAAAAAAGTCTATAAACCGGCAGTTGACTTCTCACTTTAAACTACCATCACCCCACTGTATATCATATTCGACTGCTCCACAGTACTCACTTCACCTTTTTTCTACCTTTGTGTCTGCCTCATTTACATCTTTGAAACACTCTTCTGTTTGACATCCCCCCCTCCTCTCGATTTTTTTCACTTTGATGTTCCTTCCCTTCTGTGAAGCCGGAGTCAACTAAAGGGCCAATTATAACTTTTAAAACGCCTGCCATTTGAAATAAATAAATGAATAAATATTCTTTCCTTAGTGCTGATAAGACCACAATCTATCCTGGAAGCATACTTTCGTACCAGGTGGGTTGTAATCAGTTTAGCAAATATGCCTATGTATCTAGTGGAACATATATAGTGTAAGATATTTTGAAAGTTAGAGAGCATTATTGTTGTTTTACCAATTATATTTGCATTAAAACAAAAAAGTGGTATTTCTATTTATAAGGAGTGTGCTGGCAGTGAATAATGTTAAAGCCAATGAAGAATAATGAGGATGAACCCGAAGCGAAGCAGTTAGCAGCACTAAAGTATTTCTTCTAAATGTTCATATCTTGTTCTCAAATTCCAACTGCACGGGTTCGTGCCTTGTATTACATTCACCGCTTATTTGTGATGTTACGTTCTTTTTAAACTGGGCTAAGTTACTCGGGACAAATCGGTGTTGATATTTGTTATTCAACCCCCCCCCC